GCATTCGACGTACACGCTATGACACACGACGTACCAGTATAGCACCGGGAGGAAGGGGGGGGGCGTGTTCTGGGAGAGTGGGGGGGGGCGTGTTCTGGGAGAGTGGCTGAGGTTTGAAGCCCCGGGGCTTCTGAGAAAATGCGGGTCTGGTGCACATACAGCAATAATAGCATTGAAAACGGCAAGCAGCGTTAGACATCGTTGACCACGAGACGCGATAAGTACATGCGTCTGCGGGGAGACACTACCTGAAGTTCGGCAGGCTAGGCAGCCTGGAAGGGGCAACAGAGCTTCGTTAGCGGCGGTGGGAGGTGCGTCACGTGGCAGAATGAGTGGCTGTGCGATTCGTAATTTACCGAGTGGATTTTTTTAAATTACAAACATGGTCACACATGGATACATAACAGTTTTAAACATGGTGATAAAAACATGGGCTCTACATTTTCCGTAGATATTATCTTACAAATCATAGAGTCTCTTCCATTTGAAAAATATAGTATATGTGATCTGTTAGATATTCCGTCTACCCGCTTAGCTACGTACTGTAAAAAAACGAGCTTCTGGCTTCCTTATCCCATATCTTGACTTTAATTTACACATTGCTGCTGCAAAGATTTCGATAATATTCTGATAGAAGAGCTTGTATGAACAGCCTTAATTCGCTCCAAAAAAGGTGCATGTAGCACAAGCAACTTTCAGATCACATCACAGCACACAGGATCTACATTATTTTATATTTAAACATTGGCTGCCTTGATTCTGGTGGTTAAGGCTTATTGAAGAAGCAGAAACTAAGATAGATAAGTAGCAAACATTGTTCTATTGTCATATTCGTAGCGATGTCGGCTAACGGTTAATGACATGAGAGGACTATACATTAGTAAAAACAAATCTAAAATCTGCGACTTTCCGAGTGGATGTATGTATTGTAAAGTGACATTTCGAGTTTTTTATGAAAACAAATTATAAAAAAGGCGCATACGAACCTGCAAATCCACCGCTAAGCCCCGGTCTTGAGAGCAATTTTTCTTATTTCGCTGCCATTCCCCGTTCTCATAGCAAAGTGGATTGTTGGGCCAGTTATTGACTTCAACAACGTCCGATATAATCACGTCCATTTACAAACATCTCTGTGAGCGCCCAAGAGAGCCCGGGGTTCCTCTCTTTTAGGCGCCCACTAAGAAAGCCGCTTCTCGACGGTATGAATTAATTCACATACCAAAGTTAATTCTATAAGCAGTAATTTACTAACTTTGCGGTACAAACGCCGAAGAAGTAGCTCTCACGCCCTTTCTCTATCTCGATAAAGTAGATATTTCAGCCTTTAAGATTTCGCTGTTTGAGCTAAGGCATAAGTCAGAAATCTGAAGTTTAAAGGGTAGGCACTACAGTTCGTATTCTAGCACACACTATTGTAGTCCTCTTCTTGAAGTGCTCCTCGAGTTGCGTGCTCCACAGATGTAGACTTGGTACGTGAGACTCACGTCTCCAGCGATTTTTTTAGGGCTTTCAAATCAGTGGCCTTCCATGCGACCGTGGAGCGATCACTCACTTGATCAAACTCGGCCTTAACGATCTGATGGAGCAGATCCTTTCTACCATGCTTCATCCGCATGTTGAACTCCTAATAGAAGTATTTGTCTTCCACGCGTTTGTCGATGCTATCGGCGTAGCTCGGGCTCACAACCAATTAAAAAGTGGAGGACGATGCGAACGGACTTGTAAACGATGTAAGTCGATGAATGAAAATTTGAAAGTGATATTGATTGAGTTAGAAAGCTTAGTCCCTCCTATCATCGTCGTTAAGTCCGCGTATACATATTTTTTTACACGCTTGGGTGAGACGGACATTGGGACGGACACGCTTATGTGAGACGGGGACGGACACACTCGTATACAATGTACGACAACGCGTGAAACCCACTTAACTGTACTGCGAGAACAATGTAAACTTGGGAAAACGCACAAAAATGTGTCTGAGCACTTTCAAACTTTGAAAAACACAGTAAGAAGCCAGAACTTACATTAAGATGCTCGCTGGCACTCCAATATCAGGTACCTCCACAAAGGTAAAAGAACAGCCTGCATTTTGTGCATGACAGGTGCACTCGTGGCTTGAGCGTGCGCAGAGCAAGCGCAATGCAGCCGCCCTAGACTGGAGTCCAGCCTCCAATCAGAACGAGTCTCCGTTCATCCTCGCGAGCTTGGTGATGCATGCTCCGGACGCTGCCCTGGAGAGAGCTGGGGTGTGAGCTCGGCGTCGACGAGACCGACATCATCCTCGGCACGTTTAAGACCTACAGCACGGACAAGAGCAACGCAATGCCCTGCACTGTGTGTCGTAGTGGTTACCACCACAGCATGCGTTACAGGCTGCTTAAATGCGAGTCGGCCACCTGCAGCAACACTACTTGCTCTTGGCGAGGCAATGTGCTTGTCTGCTCTGGGTCCGGTGACGCCTACATTTATGAGCTGGGGGACCACCTCACTGATGCATCCTCCCCAAAGCGCCCGAAGCTATCTAGGAAGCAGATAGATTACTGCCGAGAACTCTCACAACAAAGGCTGCGGCCACTTCGCATCCAGCAAGCCATGGCCCAGAAGTTTCATCTGCCTGCACGTGCCATCCCTCCTCTGGACAATGTCCAAAACTTCTGCAACTACTACAACCGCACCGAGCTAACTAATCACGACCGCGTCGACGACCTGACGCAGTGGATTCACGCGCGCGTGTTTACTGGCACGGAGGACGAGAACGAGACCTTCACGTTCGCTTGGGACCTTGACACGAAGGGAAGGCCTGTTATGGGCGACGGTTCGGATGAAGAGCCTTTTGTGGTTGGTTTGACGACGAAGACGCTTGTGAGACGGCTTTCGTTTCCTTCTGAGAGCTACATCTTGCATATGGACGCCACGTTCAAGCTGAACACGTCCGACTACCCTGTCATCGTGTTCGGGATATCCGATCGTGTGCGCAGTTTCCACCTCGTGGCAGTTTTCGTCGTCTCTCAGCGCCTGCAGCCGATCTACGAGGCCTGCTTGGTTTCTCTAAGCAGGATCTACTATAGGATTACAAGTAAAAGACTAGCACCTCGCTACGTGATGGGGGACGCCGAGAAAGCACAACGGAATGTAATTTTCATGGTGTTCCGCGAAGACCCAGAGCTGCAATATCTGATGTGTTTTTTCCACGCTATGACTAACGTGGAAAAGCAGTTGAAAGGATTTCCCTCACATGTAGCAGCAGCGTTAGTGCGTGGGCTTTACGACCTGCACTTTGCCCGCGACCAAATTTCATTTTCCTGGATGCTGGACCACTATTTGCAAACTTGGAGGAGATACCCGGATCTGGTGGATTTCTGTTCCTACTTTGAAAGCAGTGGCTTCGTGGAAACTTTACGTTGTGGCAGTGCTACCCAACACCCAGTGGTTTCACCAGCAACAACAAACCTGTTGAACAGTTCAACAGAGTGTTGAAAAGAGACTACACGCTACGACGACGTTTGAAAATGGGGACACTACTAAAAGAGCTGAGCGACTGCTGCAGGCATGAATCGACAAAACAACGGGTTTTCCGTGCCACACCAGAAGCTGCGCCAGCCCTGACGCGCCGTGTGGTGGAGCTTACTCGCGAAAAGCTTTTGGCTCGCAACATTGCTGCCGATACCAGTCTGGGTGACGCTGGTGTGACGCACGTGTTGGCACTGCCGGCCAAACGCATCGTGGTGGAGGGAGCAAAGCGCTCAACAGAAGGGCAGATAGCAGCGTCAGCGCAAATGGGCGCAATCTACGCACGGATGGAGGTGCAGGATCAGCCGCTCTACGGTTGGAGTGTTTATCTACGATCGCAATGGTGTCCTTGCAACTACTGCTTCAATTTCGGGACGTGCGTTCACCTACTGTTTGCTCAACGGGCTTCCGATCGACTTGATGGAGCAGGGAGGCGATTGCTGGTGAATCGCCGAGAAACTGGGAAGCGTAGGAGTGATACGCTCGGACAACTTGATGGACGAGAGAAACTCAGTCAGAGCTTTATTCGCTGCTAAAATTGCTGTTGTGTGATGTTTTATCTTGATTCGATTGATCGAGCACAAGCGGTACCACACCTAGTCTGTCTTTTGGGCAGAAACGTACGGGTAGGACAAAGCCGTTTTTCACGGAGAAGCTTTGAATTACAACTGTGTGTAGGGCGGCTGCTTCACCATTGATTTTACATGTACAGTGTCAGTAAGGAGCTTAGCATACTTAAAGTGCCAGAAAAGGTACTTTTTAATTTGATCTGCACAAGCTCTACAAGAATATTAGCTTCCATGCGTTCCTTATTGCCGCACTGTACAATATACTCAAAGTGACTGTACTTGTTAATTTGTTATATTTATTGCTTACAAGGATACTTGTTACACGTTCCTTATTGACGCATTTCTGTAGCCTACTACTGCAGTCCTGTTTACCGAAGTAAATACGCGATCAAAGAGAGATAATGACGGTATGGTATGCCGTACGCATCTGCTACACCTGCTCCGCAGCCGCATTATCTGCTTGAAAGCTGAAGTCTGCTCGAAAAACATTCGTGCGGATTAAAATCGGTTAGTCGTAATTTACGGTAATGTTACCCTTGGTCGCCACAGGCAACATTCCCCTGGGTGACATCATTGATACAGAAGAGATTTAGCTATACATTTCCATTCTTCTTTTTATTAAAGAAAAATGCTGTTTCTGATACTAGCTGAAATGACAGGTTATGCATGTTTAGAACCCATTGTATTGTGTACGACAATCCAATGCAGACCTTATATAACAGGCGTATCAAGTGCTGCAGTAATTCCTTAACAGTTTGTGTACGGTAGTTTGGGATCTGAGCAGAATGACTCGCCAAAATCCAGAGAATATGATTTGGTTAAAATTTTATAATCGAGCAAACCAAGCGTCAGATTAGCTTCCTCTCATTTAAATTATGTAAGATTTCGTCGGTGTCAACTTCGCTTTAATAAATGTAGTACTTGTTACGATACGTGGACAGTATACTTAATTTGTTAGGTTGGGACAGCACGGTTAAATGTGGCCGATGTTAGCTGGAAAACTTGCTACATCGAGGATTTCTGGGATACGATAAAAAATGCAAGCTAATCCGTATTACAAAAGCCCACTTACAGGTCAAGAGGGCGGCCCGTGACATTCAGCCCCAAGTTCGATGCTGCTCTGATCTCATCGACCAGTTCTTCAAGCTCAAAAAGCTTTTTCTCGCCATCCGTAAAGCGCACCATCCACTTGGGCGACGAACTCTTCTTAGTCTGCCACCCGATCACCCGACCGGTGATCCACTCCGTCACGATGTCCTTGCTCTTGTCCTTCAGGTGCATCGTTTTCTTCAGGATGTTCCAAAAAACTGGTCGACCGGGGAGTGCAGCAAACTCCTTCATCAGCTTCTCCTTGTCAAGCAGATCCTCCTCTTCGCTAGCGATCTCAACAGCCTCATCAATGGCAATCTCTTCCGGCTGTTTACGGTCGGTATCGTCATCAACGATCAAACTCTCCGTCTCGGACTCGGATTCGGAACTCTCGTCCCACCCTCCGCGTCGCTTCCGACCCCGACGAGGCAACAACGTGGTTGTAGCTCCTGGCCTGTTCCAGTTGTTTTTTCGAAGTGTAAGGAGTCTGTTCTTTACCTGACCTTCATCAGGGACCTTCACCAGCATGGCTGGTTGGTCCGCATACTTGTTCTGCAGTGCAGAGAGACATTTCTTGGGAGTCATGCCTTTTGCAAGCAGTCCATCCACTTCTCCCTTTACGGATAGATCGATACCAATTCGCTTCCGATTGGTGACTTGGTCTCCGTGATCCCCAGCGTCTTCCAATTGGAAAGTGACGGGAATTTCCTCCTCATCTTTCGTACTCTCGAGGACGCGGAGTCGATGCTCGCAGTCTTCATGTGAGATGCAGCGGTACACTTTGCCGTGACCGAAGGCACCGTAGTTGTAGGCCGTCACGTACTGGAATGTATTGTGCGCGTGAAGCGCCAGTATGGCCTCCTCTAGCGTTGTGTGGGTCGATACATGGTTGTACATCGAAGCAGAGCTGCCGCGGGCCATCTCGACGAATCGTTATGTGGGACTTTATGTTTCCCGCCAAATCTGTTAGTATTCTAATTATTTTAATTGGCTTAAAACTAATTTACTAAGTTATCGTTTCTAAAACTTATGACCGATGTAACGGAGGTTGAAAACATATAATCAATTCATTATAGATTGATTAACGTCCACCGATTGAGCTCTTCACAAACGGGGATTTTTCTTGCCTTTCTTCGGAATGGCACAGTCGGTTTTGAAGTTGTAGTCGTTGAGATAGTAGCTCCAAAGTTTCTCGACTTTGGATAGCTCGCAGTACATTTCATCATCGCATCCGGGGAGGGTATCTTCGACTTCTTGGATCCACACTGATACGTAGTATTTTTGGTCCTTTTTCCCACGATATAGACGGAAATCGATGTTGGAGGCGGTAGGGGAAAGCACCGAAGTACGGAAGTTCCTTGAGTTGATTTGATCGGCCGACCACGACGAGAGAAGCTTTGTGCGATCACCATAACCAAGTAGCGTCATAAGGGGCAGTGTGGTCTCCGCGTGACCAAAACGTAGGTTCCCGACAACAGTGGTTTCTCCCGAAATGAACATTTTCATAAATGAGTGAATATTTTGAAGCAGGACTGCCGCCATTTCGTAGTTTATCTTGTAGCCTCCACCCTGCTCGTAGAAGGCTTCGAGATCCTCAGCGTAGTCGAGGCGGTTCAAGAACGTTTCATCCATAAGAGAACACCAGTGACTCGTGATGCCATACACCATGATGTCAAACCTGAAGGTCCGATGATATTATGTCAGCTTCCATACTATACATCCAAATTGCAATAAATGAGAAAATAGTGATTTCTTACGCGCAAGCTGCGAAGGCTGCACGGACGTCTGTGACACTGAGAGCAACGCTGTCAGGTAGATTCAGATGCGACTTGAGATCAGCCATGCTCGCATTCATTTGACTCGAACTTCCATAAGCTTTGAGTTCTGCAGACGCGTTCGGGTTGTGCTTCACCTCAGCAAGGTATCGGTCGCAAATGTCATAGAAACGAATAAAGGGGTCCTGAAGACAGCATTTCAATTGATTCGTTCAAAATAGTGATCTGCAAAGTATTTCTTAACGTACCTTTCCCTTGGCATATTCGATGTAGTTGACGTCATTTGGGCTGTCGAAGAATGTACTGGCAAACCTGAAAATACCCAATGACGAACAGCATTTATCACTCCCGTAATCACAACACTGAGGCTACCAAAAAAAACTTACGCTCTGGCACTGTCACGCGTGCGCTTAATGAACGTGTGAGCAAGGATAAACTCATTTTTGTTGAATCTGGTCGGAATCGCTTGCCCCACCGAGTCCCGAGTTCGTTTACCAAACGCTGCGAGCTCATCATAGCCAGTCGATGATAAAACCCCGGCAACTGACATGTTATACGGCAGCGAATACTCTTTCAACCACTCTGGGAGGACGTTTGAAAAATTTGCCTGCAGCCTGTACAGTAGATCGGCAATCTCACGCATCGTGTTGTCGGTTGGGAATCTGCGAGAGTACAACGTGCTCTAAGTACTAGTACGAAGAGACTGCCAATAGAACTTGTGTTAATTTTTTTTACCTGCTTCCGTGACGACTCACTTGCTGAATCTGCAGCAACTCCAGCTCCGACGCCTGGACGCCAGTCACGCGTACATTATTCTGCACCAGACTCATCTGGGCACTGCGTTGATCCCAGTACATTGTCATGGTCCCAAACGAAAGAGGGTTTATGAAGCTGTGATCTGCTGCATTCAAGATGTCATCCTCAGCCACAATGCCGTTATCATCTTCGATCCCACTCGTGACTGCCAGCAAGAAGATAGAGAGAAGGGACGTGACGGCGAGAAATCGACCGATGCTCTTAACCGGCAGAACCTCGGGAGGAGACACATCGGCGACAGGGTTTTCTACTTCGAGCGACTCAAAACCCTTCGCCATCTTCAACCTTGTTTCTTCTCTGCGGTTGAGCTCAAAGTGACCAGGTTGTCACAATGTTTTCGATGGACTCGCTGTTCCTGCGTTCTTATCGGTCGTTTCACTTAAACACATTTATAGCAAACAAAGGTATCACACCTAAATTGCTACTGTCATAACGCGTCATGTATCGAAACCGCACACTTCGTCTCGAAATTGTATTCGTTGAGGTAGTAGCTCCAGATCTTCTCAACCATCGAAAACTCGCAATATAGCGCACCGTCGCATCCTGGCAAGGGGGCTACCACCTCCTGGATCCACACCGACACGTAGTACTTTTGGTCCAATTTATTGCGGTACAGTCGGAAATCGATGTTAGAAGCTGCTGGGCCAAGTGATGATGAGCGGAAGCCCCGCGAGTCAATCTGCTCGTCTGTCCACGACGCAAGGAGCTTCGTGCGATTCCCATAGCCAAATAGTGTCATGAGCGGCAGAGTGGTTTCAGCATGTGCGAAACGCAAGTTGCCAACGATGGAAGTGTCGCCAGTAGTGAAGTTTTTCATGTACGCGTAAATGTCTTGAAGAAGGACGGCGGAGATTTCGTAGTTGATTTTGTAACCAGGACCTTGCTCGTAAAACGTTTCCAGCTCGTCGGAGTACTCCAGATGATTCAAGAAGGCCTGGCTAACGAGGGAGCACCACTGGGTGGTGACGTTGTAGAGCATGATGTCGAAACTGTGAACCCAAAACAAAATGCAGTTGGTTAGTATTTGCTGACTCAGTTGCTTACTATGGTCTTCATAACGTACGCGCAAGCAGAGAAAGCCGACGCCGCATCGGTGGGGCTCAATTCAGCATAGTTGGGCAGGTTCAACTGGTTTTTTAGAAATACGATACTCTCGTTCATCTTTGCAGAAGTTTGGAGCGCATCAAACTCCGCGAGAGCACTAGCGTTGTCCAAGACTATCGCTCACATTCATCGAAGAAGCGAAGCAGCGGATCCTGTGAGAATGGTCAGTGTTGCTGATATTAAAAAGGGATCCAGCTGTGATGATATAATAACCTACATTTCCGTCGGGGTACTCAATGTACTCCACGTCGTCTGGGTTGCTAAAAAATGTACTAGCAAACCTATTCATGCACCAAGCAGATATGAGCACAATATCAACAATGGAGAAGAAAGGTGATTTACGCTTTAGCGCTGTCGGCAGTGCGCGCTGTGGTCGTGTGTGCGAGCTTGAACAGACTGGAATTGTAGTACACTGGAATGGAATTTACAACCGAGTTCCGAGAACGCGATCCGTACCCTGCAAGCTCAGCAAAGCCAGTGGGGGCAAGCGCGCCTGTCTTCGTCGTGGTGTACGGGAGTGAGTAGTTTTTGAGCCAGTCCGGGATAGCATTCGAGTAGTTCATCTGGAGCTTGTCCAACAGATCCACGATTTCTCTCATGTTGCCCTTGGTCGGAAATCTACTTCCGTGTCGGCTAACCTGCTGGAGTTGTACAAGCTCCAGATCCGCGGCTTGGACCACTGATTCTGAATGCAAAGTGGAAGCAGCTCCCGACCCATGTTAATCCCAATACTTGGTCTTGGTCGCGAACGACTGCAGACCAAAGCTGACTCCTGCAGAAACCTTCGGCGACGAAGACAGAATGGCGAGGACAATAACGATCACGCTCCGCATTGCGTTTTCGGTTTTACGATGAGTGTGCTGGTGACAGAGTAAATCCTGAAGTGAGGTTCAGTCATCTCTGGCCTTTAACCTAGGAAACTAAGTTGCCTGAGAATCTCAGTAAAAACTTCTCACGCCACGGACTAAGTTGGACAGGTCGACTCAGTCGACTGGCCGATGAGCCGCTGTGCCGGGGAGCATGTACTAATTCTACTGGCAGTAGTCCATCATGGACTCCATGGCCTGGACACAGGTTCTTACAATGAATCACAGCCCAGGACTGAACTTGGTAAGCTTACTAAAACAAATGCACGACCTGTGTTACTGAGTAACACACAGTAAAATATTGCGAAAGTATTTTACACTGCGCGACAGATCACATCGGACACCCTCTTACAGTGCTCTAGCGCCGTCAATACTGCGAGTTAGGCCATACTATTTAGATATATGCGGGATGTTGACAGTAGGAAAAGCCTAGTACATGTAGCGCTAACGAGCGCAGATTCGGCCGCTGAGGGGGGCCTCCAATACAACTTTCCACTTTCAGCTCCACGACAGATCAGATCGGACAGTACAGACTTTACAAAAATCAAGTGTATTTTAAAGCTGAAAACTTGTGGCTGCAGCGCGTGTACCTGGTGGGTGGCTGCCATGAGCGTGGCGTGCATGGCTCATTCTAAAAGATGCCGAAGACGAAGAAGCCTCCATTAACCGAGCGAGAGAGGGGGAGGATTGACGGCCTCTTTGAGGCTGGAGCCTCCAAGCGCGCCATCGCGCGCAGCCTCGGCCGCAGCCCCGACACCATCTGCCGTGCACTGGCTCCCAAGCCTCCTCCCAAGGCACGCAAGACCGCGAAGCCCCCCCCCCAACGAAGCGGAGCGCCCCCAGCACTGACGGACCGCGAGGCCAGGCGTCTTGTGCGGACTGCATCGCGTGGCGAGCACTCGGCGGCGCAGTTGAAAGCCGAGTTGAACCTCGACGCGCACGTGAGGACCATCCAGCGCGTCCTCTTGAGGTTCGACTGGCTGGTCTACACGAAAATGGTTAGCACGCTTCCGTTGAAGCCGGAAGACATGGCCGCACGCTTCACGTGGGCAACGGAGAAGCTGTTGCTGAAAGACGCCGGGTCCTATTAAGATTCCATTACTTTCTCTGATGAGAAATAATGGAACCTCGATGGGCCCGACGGCTTTCAGCAATATTGGAGGGACTTACGCCGACCTCCCCGAAGGACCAAGAGAAGGCAAGCAGGGGGAGGATCGTTGATGGTTTGGGCTGCATTTAGTGGGCGGGGAAAGTCTCAGCTGGTGGTTTTGAATGGAAAGCAAAACTCGGACGACTATGTGTACACGTTGTCCGAGTTTTTGCTTCCCTATGCACATGCCAGCTACGGTCTAGACTATATCTTCCAACAAGATAATGCCAGCATCCACACCTCAGCCCGCACTAAGGACTTTTTTGCGGACCAGGAAGTCAAGGTGCTCGACTGGCCGTCTAAGTCACCCGACTTAAATCATATTGAAAACCTATGGTCAATAATGAGCCGGCGCGTTTACAGGAACGGTAAGCAATTCGACAAGGTGTGTGATCTGAAAGAAGCCCAATTCGAAGCTTGGAATTCCATCCTGATAGAGGTCACGGGTTTTAGGCAATGTTGGGCTTGTACGGAGCGAAGGGAAGAGTCACCACTCGGGGAGTAGACCGAAGCGAAGACACTTGAGGGGAAGAAGGAAGATTCCGAAGTGATTGATTTATCGGAGCTTTCACAGTCATCACTACCTAGGTCATCCAATCAATTGATGCATCCAATCACCAACATTCTGGACTCGTCCAATCATCCTACTCGTCTAATCAACGTACCGTAATTATCGCGGGATCGTGTTGGACCGGTTTGGTTACCGGTTTATGGGTACTCACCGCCTGAAACCGGTACCCCTCAATACACCCCCTCAATGCGAACACGCGTTGACTCCGAGCGCCGCCGTAAAGTCCTTGTGACGTGGCCCCGGAAGCGTCTTCGTCATGATGTCCGCCAGCATCACAGAGGTCTCGCAGTACTCCAGCTTGACCTCACCGCGCTTGACCTCATCACGAATGTGATGGTACTTGATGTCGATGTGCTTGGCCCGACCATGGTTCACTGGGTTCTTGGTCATCTTGATGCATGACTGGTTGTCTTCGAGGATCTTGAGCTCTGGTCCCGATTCCCCTGCTGCCGTCAAAATCTTGCAAAGTAGGCGGTGGACCCACTTGGCTTCTTATATAGCTAAACTTAGCGCGATGTATTCTGCCTCGCTTGTTGACAACGACACACTTGACTGCTTTTTGCTCCCCCAACTCACGGGTGCGCTCATCAAAAGAAACGTGTAGCCCGAAGTTGACTTGCGATCGGAGTGGTCACCAGCCCAGTCTGCGTCAGAGTACCCGCGGAAATCCACTTTATCACCAGGCTTGAAGCAGATTCCATGCGACTTAGTTACTTGTAGATAGCGAAAGATGCGCTTTACAGCAGCCCAGTGCTCGACTTGCATGAAGCGAGAAACGTATCCCACGGCAAAGGCAATGTCCGGTCGTGTCGCGGTCATCAAGTGCATGAGTGCACCTACAGCCTCGCGGAACGGAGCGTTCACCTTGGTCGATGCACTGCTTGGGACTAGTCGAGAGCTTAAATCAGCTGGACTCACCACCGCCTTGCACTCATCCATACCAAAACGCTTAAGGATGTCGTCGCCATATCGGCGCTGGCACATCGTCACGCTCCCGTCAGCGTTGTACACCAATTCGATTCCCAGTACGAACGCACACTTGCCACTGTCGGTCATCTCGAAGCGCTTCTTGAGATCGCTCTTGGTGGTTGCAATGAGCTCGGCCGAGCTACCAGACACCAAAACGTCGTCTACGTAGACCAGCAGAAGCACACAGTGACCATCCACAATCTTGATGTAGAGACACGGGTCGTATGCTGAAACTTGAAAGCCGATGGAGCACACGTAGTCGTCGAAGGTCTCGTTCCACACGCGCGATGCTTGCTTGAGACCGTAGATCGCCTTCACCAGCTCCAGGCAGTCGAAGTCATCATCAAGTTCGACACCTTCTGGCACCATGCAGAACACCACCTCTTTCATTATGCCATACAGGAATGCTGTTACCACGTCCAGTTGGTCCAGGGGCCATCCGAGGTACACGACCAAGGCAATGATCATGCGAAGCGTCACATACTTCACCACGGGCAAAAACGTTTCGGTGTAGTCAATGCCATACTTCTGCTTGAAGCCTTTCCCTATAAGGCGCGCCTTGTACTTCTCGATTGAACCATTTGCTTTGCGTTTGATCTTGAACACCCACTTCGTACCGATGGCCCGTTGACCGTTCGGTAGCTTGGCAGCTCGGAACACACCGCGAAGTCGCATCGACTTAAGTTCGGCACGGATGGCCTTGCGCCAATGCACTTGATCAGGCCCGTTTACCGCTTCTTGAAACGTTGCCGGTTCAGCTAAATCACCAGCTTCCACTGCGTTGGCACATGCTCGCCAAAATACAGGCGGAGTTGCGTCATCGTCGTCTTGATCCTCGACGTCTTTTTCTTTTTCATCGGCCACGTCACAGTCATTTCGCACACCTGATCGGCGCTTTGGGTGACGCTCAAACGAGGTTTCTCGAGCACTAGCTTCCTCCAAACCGGCAGCCTGCTGTGCAGCGCGCGATCTCGAAGTCATGCCGTGAACGTTACTTGTGTGGGACTTGCGTTTCCCCGCCTGCTTGAATTCCGTTGGACCCGCAGTTTCGGTATCGTTGATACTGAGAGAGTCGAGGTCGAGATCAGAATCTGCGTCGTCGTCGCTTGGACTAGCCGTTGAAAACCCAAAGTTTGATTCGTCGAAATTGACATCGCGACTAATCGCCACCTGCGCCGCCTCGACGATATCATATACTCGAAAACCCCTTTGGAAAACTCTCTTCAAAAATCCCAGAAAAAAAACCTCTCTCTCGAAGACCCTGGAGAGTTCCCCCATTGGAGATTCTCTTTTTTCTCCCGCCAGATTTAATAAGTAAGCCCCACAACCAAACACAGCATGTGCTTCACACTGGCTTGGACTGTACACGATCTCATATGGAGTCTTGCTTTCGATCTTGGGTGACGGTAGGCGGTTCTCAACGTAGATAGCGGTCATCGCCGCTTCGCCCCAGAAACACTTCTCCAACTTGGCATGGTGCAACATGCTGCGACCAATCGTGACGATAGTCCTGATAGCTCGTTCTGCAGTGCCCGTTCGGCTGGTGCGCGTACGGAACCGTGGTCTGCTGTTCGATGCCTTGATCTTCGCAAAACACCTTTGAGTGAGTTTGCCGCTAAACTCACAAGCTCCGTCATGGCGTACGAGCTTGACCCGCTTGCCGAATTGCGTCTGTACCTTCGTGAAATAGCTCTTGAGGCATTCTTCAGCGTCCGACTTGGCTCGTAAGCAGAAACCCTTCATGCATCCACTGGCTTCGTCAACGATGAGCAGCAAGTACTTGCTCCCACCCACCGATTCTTTTTCCATGGGGCCGCAGATGTCGAAATGAAGCAACTCGAACGTGTCGTAACTGCGTTTGTCGCGGCTACTGGGGAACGGCTTCTGGACCATTTTCCCTTGCTGACACCCGCGACAGACACTTTGCTCACTTGGCTTCAAAGGTGCCTTGGCATCCTTGATCATGCCGCTATTAACCATCTTGCGTAGAACGTCGATAGGAGCATGGCCCATGCGCGCGTGCAAGTCAACGTTCGACTTCGA